TTTTATGTTAATGTTTTTCAAGTATGTAACCAACGCTTTTCTGACATATTTTATCTTATCCTTCTCCCCTTCATTTCCTAAAATTCCTCCTAAACTCCAAGCTCTCCCTTTCTCTTTGACTTTTCTTTTCAGTCTCTCCCTTTCTTCCATATATTTAATGCATTCCATCAATACATGTTCCACACTTTCTGTTTCCCCACATTCCTTGCATCTATTGTTATTCCTTTTACCCATTATGAACATTGTGTCATTAAGTAATGTGTGTCCCACCCTCAATCTCATAAGTATCACCTCCTCTCTTCTACTTCTTTCTCTAAACGTTGTTATTTTAACTGATTTTTGGATCCTGAATAATTTTCTTCCTTTCTTGTCCTCATTCCATCTCTTTTGCCATTTATTTAGTTCTTGTCTTTTAATAATTGATTTACCCTCTCCTTTCCCTAATGGAATATTAGCTGTTATTTCTCTCTTCAACGCTGCCTTGGCAAGATCATCCGCCCTTTCATTCCCTTCCATGTGTACAGGTCTATTAATGATGTCACAGTTCAATACACCTGTTTGTCAGAGTTCTGTCACCTCCTCACTACAACCTGGATGCATTTCATAGAATATTTGACCATCAAATACCTAACATCAGAAAATGTGGCCTCACATTTTTGATCTGATTCAAATGGTTGCATTTTCTCCAAGTACTTTATTTATACATTTTCTTTATATATTTTATGATGTCATGGCTAATTCATGTATACATTATACTCACTTTGTCTCTCTCTTCAGGACTTTGCCTGGCCGCCGTGCCGATAAATATAAAGGTACAGTTATTAACTTGAATGAAGAAGTGACATTTTTTTTAACTACATCCAGACTGATTTGTTCCGCCTCAAACTTGTCCTAAATGCCGAAAAAACCAAAGGGATGCTTTTTTCAAATAGGAAGTTGGTCCCAGCAGTTCTTCCTCCGATTTTATCCTCAAATGGTGTCCCCATTGAGTTTGTTGATTCCTATAAATATTTGGGTATCTTGGTCGACTCACATCTTTCTTTTAAGCTCCACGTGGAAAACTTGGTAAAGAAACTGAAAGTTAAACTGGGTTTCTTTTTCAGAAACAGATCCTGTCTAACCCTGAATGCTAGAAAACGCCTTGTATCAGTGACTTTCCTTCCCTCAATTGATTATGATGATATTATTTACATGAACGCTCCTACAAGAACCATGCAGATGTTGGATGATGTCTATCATGGTGCACTAAGATTCATAACTGGCTGTGATTATCGTACCCACCACTGCACCCTGTATTCACTGGTTAACTGGACATCATTAACTTCACGCAGACTCTCTCACTGGTACATTTTCATCTTTAAATCACTTCTTGGTCTGCTGCCTTCATACATCTCCTCCTACATGTCTCTGCGTGAGTGCAGCTACGGAGTGCGCTCTCAGGACATTATTACCTGCAGTGTTCCCTCAGTGAGGACTGAACTAGGCAAAAGGGCCTTCTCCTACTCCGCTCCTGTTTCCTGGAATATCTTACAAAAAGATTTGAAGCTCTCGACCTTGACCTCTCTAAGTGTCTTTAAGAATCTGTTGGACACCTGGCAGGGTCCAATGCAGACATGTTCCTGTTATTGGTTTTATACATTTGTCTTGGAATCTAGCTGTTTTTTTGTTTGTTTGTTTGTTTTGTTTTGTTTTGTTACCTTTTCCTTTTAGCCATCCTATTTGTTAAAATAAAACAAAACAAAAAAAACTGTAGTATGAGTTTTTATAACTGCTTATTGTTGTTGCTGTTGTCCATTGTTGTCATCTTTCTTTGTTGAAATCAGGTCTCTCTTGTAAATGAGTCCTCGAGGCTCAATGGGATTTACCTGTATAAATAAAGGTTGATTGATTGACATCAAATTGACTCCACAATAGTGCAATATATTTTAAGATGCCTTGTACACATTGGTACTTTGCATTAATAACATGAGAGGTTGAAATTTAAGGAGAGTCAAATCTGGAATTTAAAATGATTAAATATCTTGATATAAAAAAGAATGATTTCAGATTTTTTTTAAAACAAGGTAAAATTTAATAGTATTTCAAATTCAAAGTTTTGTTTCTGAGAGTATTTAACTTTTTTTTATTTGAACACAAAACTCTTATACTCTTACACTTTTTTTTGTAGGGCTGACTGGCTGTGAAACTGAAAGAATCAGAAAAGGGGTATGGAGGATACCACTCTACATCATCTCCAGGAAACCAC